TAACATCTTAGGCCACATATAGCTATACTGGATTTTTGACTTTCTAAAAACTTTCATCATGTACTGCCACATGATCGAGAAATTTTATTTGTAATCCCAAATTTAAGATCATTCAAAGATTAAATAAAGGTTTGATGCATATAGAACAGTTTTGGCATGACCCCACAGAAAAGATAAATCAAGTCACTAAAGTGCCTGAAGAAGTAAGTAACCCTTCTACTCCATCACTGGTCTGAGAAAGGGTCACTCAGATACCAGCACCACAGAAGGTTAACATTACAATTCACTGTTCAAATTCATGAAACAAAACAAATGTTTAATAAACATTTTTCCTGAGTTGCTTGGATAACAGGTGTATGCCACCATGCCCAGAACAGATATCTTTATTTATGTTGAATTTTCCAGTTCATGGACATGTTTTATGTATGGTACGTCTGTTCATTATGTTAATTTTGTTATTTATTTCTTAGTATTTAGTTGGATGCAGGACTTTGTTTATGCAGAGTATTCATTCTATTGTTGAGGTATCCCCACCCCCTAATTGTTTTTTTGTCAATGTTGTAGTTTTTTATATACAGATTCTTTCCTTCCTTCCTTCCTTTCTCCTTTCCTTTCTTCCTTCCTTCTTCCCTCCATTCCTTCCTATCTCCCTCCCTCCCTTCCTTCCTTCCTTCCTTTCTTCCTTTCTTTCTTTTTGTGCTGGGGATTTAATGCAGGCATACGTAATTGGTAGCCACATACCCAACCTTTTGTATTTTTATTTTGATACAGGGTCTCACTAAGTTGCTGAAGCTGGCCTTCAACTTGATATTTTCATGTCCTAGCCTCTAGAGTTGCTGGGTTTATATGTGTATGCCATTGCACTGGCTAACCAACAGATTCTTTGCATTTTATCACATTTACATTTAAATATTCCTTTTATTTAGAGCTATTATAAATGCTAGATTTTAAGTTTTTTACTCCATCTGCTCATTGTTAGTATATAGAAATTCAGTGGGTTTTGTGTGCTGGTGTTAAAACTTTAGCAGAGTCCCTCATTAGCTTCTACCAAATTTTTTGTAGATTCCTATTGAGTTTTTTTACATGTAAAATGATGTCATCTGCAAATAAGCATTGTTTTATTTCTTCCTTTCCTGTATATATGCTTTTTATTTCTTTTTGCTGCCTTATTTCACTGGCTGTGATTTTCAGTATTATATTCAATATGAGCAATGGGAATGGAACTCCTTGCCTTCTTTTTGATCATAGGGGAAGGCATTCAATTTTTCATAATCATGATGTTAGTTGTAGTTTTGTCATATGTGACCTCTTTCAGGTTAAGGAAGTACTCCTGTATTCATAGTTTGTCAAGAGTTCTTATAATGAATGAGTGGATATTGAATTTTACAAGTATCTTTTTCTGTATCAACAGATATCTCCTCTCTCCCTTAAGCTATTAATATCATTACACTGGTTCAACCAATCTTGTAGTCCCAAGAAAAACCTTGCTTGGCTCCGATATATTATTAGTTTTATATCTTTCTGTATTTGATTTCCTCAGTATTTTAAGGATTTTTATATCTTTGTTCATGCGGGATATTTGTGTATAGTTTTCTTATATTATCTTACATTTGCTATCAGTAATGATAGTCTCATAAAATGATTAGAAAAATATTCTCTTCTGTTCAGGGGCCTGAAAATAATAAGAAAGAAGAAAAAAGCTGGAGAATTCCTGTAGTTTCTCTAAGCAGTAAGAGTTCCCTTCACAGTCTTTGAAGTCAAAAGTAAACATTTTCCCTTCATAGTTCCTCTATATGCACATAGTGCCCACCTCAGGATTTTGAGCCACCATTGATCCAGACTAGGGGTGAGGGGAGGATAAATGATAAATACCATTTTGGTGGTATTTGGAAATCTATTCTTCCCCAGTCTACCTGTTACCCTTTACTTTTTCTCAAATAGTTGCTCTATGTAGAATTTATGGCTGTATTCTCTCCAGTGGAGGCCCAGGTTTCCATCTTTATTGGATCCAGAGTGGATTCAACTGGGTTCTATACTCAAGGTCTCTCAGAATGTCAAAATCAGTATGTCATTTGGACTAGGCACTAATCTCAAGCTCTGGACAGAATCTGTTTTGAAATTCATTCTGGTTCATTGTATAATCCAGTTCCTTATGGTTGTAGGACTGAAGTTCCCAATTCCTTGTTAGCTATTGTCCAGAAATTGCCCTCAGCTCACCCATTTCATCTCATGTGACCCTCAGCATCTTCACAACAATTACATATCATGTATCCCTTCTCATATTTTACCTTTCTCTGATTTCCCCCCTCACCTCCTTCATGTACCTTTTAAAGGTTCACATAATTAGATCAGGCCTACCAGATAATCTCCATATCTGACCTGGGTCTTTAATCACAACCATAACCTCCCCCTCATTGCACAGCAGTACATAGATTAGTGTTTGATTCAATAATCAAGGGGGCAGGAATATTGTAAAGGAGGTGCCTGATTAGAATTCTGCCTACCTAGAACCACATTAGAATGTTCTGGAGTGCTTCAATACAAAATGACCAAATGTGATTTGAGCTGAGTTTAAGGTTAAGAATTGAGGGAAAATATTTGCATTTAAGTTCTTCTTAACTGATGGGACAGATCATCTCCTATAAAGATACTTGTGCAGGTGCTATAGTGCTCTGAGGGGGCAGGGGCACTTAACCTAACTTTGTGGATTAACTTCTTGGAGAAAATGCTGAGGTTATCTTGAAGATTAATAGTTAGGCAAAAAAAAAAAAAAGCAGGGGGGAGCAGGGGAGTACATTAAATACATGAGTAAAGACCTAGTGATGTGACATAGTTTGGGTTGGGGGAAGTAGGTTTTATAAATTCTAATACTTCTGGAACTTTTTAAAGGGGGAGTCAGGTAATAACTGCCAATAAAGGCAAAACCTTTTCTCTCTTCCTAAGAAAGTTGGTCTTTTATTTTCTAGATGAAGAGGAACCAGTAAAGAGTTTAAATAGGAGTGAACCAATCAGGATCACATTGAAAATAAATCATTTGGAAGTGACTCTGGAGACTGAACTAAAGGGAATGGGTTTAGACAGAAAAACTATTTAGGAGGCTTTGTAATAGCTGAACAAAGAGAGGCCTAGAGGAGGAAAATAAGAGTAGCTGGAATGCTAAAGACAGGAGATTATATTCAAGCAGTGTTTTGGAAATAAAATTGACAGAACTTATTCAGTGATTGGACTGGGACTAGGGAAAGAGAAAGTGAAATGAAGAATCAAAAAGTCAGATTTCTGACCTGGATCATATGGTGGATTGTGCACCCCTTAGCTAAAACAAAGGGAAAATAGCGTGTCTAAAGGTAGTTAATAGATAAATTGATCTGATGAGTCCTTGAGAGTTCAGTAGAAAGGGAAAACAGGCCTTTGTATTTGTTTGGTTTTTTTTTCCCCTTCATTTCATTATTAAACATTCATTTAATTACAATAGAACAAACTATTTTAGGAACTCAGAATACTAAGATGTAGCACAGCCTCTAATGTTCAAGAGCTCACATTTCACTGAACCATTACAGACACTTAGGCAGATAACTATGACAATAATATAAATAAGTGCCCAGTGATAGAAAAAAATGCACAGGATATTCTGAAAGCAGTGATGAGTGCACCTCACTCAGCAACAGGGATCAAGAAAGATTTCCTGGAAGTGACTCAAGGGCTGAGTCTAGGAAGACAAATTGGGCAGGAGTTGAGGGTCCACGCTGAGCTAATAGTTAGCAACTCCTATGTATACTGTCCTGTGTATGCTATGCCAGTCTGAAGTCAGGGAAATACTATGATTTAGGTGGATATTTGGGCAACTTCAAATCACTAAGTTGTTTCTTTGGCTACAAGATGAGCACCTAGGTTTAAGTTTTCATGTTATGAATTCAGGAAAAGCACCCAGCTTCAGGTCCATAACAGCTGAATCTTCTTTCTATTTTAGGTTAATTTGGGTTTTCTGTTGTTGCTATCATCTTCTAACATTGTTCTCTGTTTTTCATAGAAGGCAAGATGTATGACATTCTCTGTCTTCATGATACTTAAAGTCTTGTGTTTTATAATAAAAACAGAAAAACCAGTCATGGTAGCACACATTTGTAATCCCAGCAACTCAGAAGGCTGAGGCAGGAGGATTGTGAGTTCAAAGCCAGCCTCAGAAAAAGCAAAGTACTAAACAACTCAGTGAGACCCCCATCTCTAAATAAAATGAAAAATAGGGCTGGGGATGTCACTCAGTAGTTGAGTGCCTCTGAGTTCAATCCCCAGTATCCCCCCCCCCAGATAAATAAAAATAATAAAAGCAGGAGTAAAAGTGGTATAAGGTGAAATAAGAAAATGAAAAAAAATAATAAGGCCAGTTTGTTTTAATGTCAGACAACTAAGTGACAAGGACAGTGTCTGGTATATGTTACCTGTGAAATGTACTATAGATTTTAAGAAATCGACCTATATAAACTTGGGTAAGAGATTTCAACTCTTATCAATGTAGAATGTAGGAAAAGTTGCAGGAACTTTTGTGGTTTGCAGCAGGTGACAGAAGAGAAACAAATATTTTCTGCATTAACTTAATTAGAGAATGGTAAGGAAGGCTGCTTCAGTCAGTTAGTTGGATCAGTGTTGATTACTATCAGTGTTTGTGTCAAACATTTTTCTGGGAATAAAGGGAAGACCTTTTTCTTTGGGAAAAAGAATGCCAGTTTCAGGTAAGTAACTAAAGGGAAAGCCTGCTTCAGCTTGCATTGGGGTATGAGAGCAAAGATGGAATGGAGGGACTTGGTATAGGTGTACGTCCCCGGCTGTAGCAGGAATAGACAATCAGGAATATAGGCATAAGTGGTCAAAGGAGAATGTTCCTATTTAGCTAACTACATGGAAAAAAAATAGGTGATGAATAAAAGAAATATAACATTCTGGCATCATAATGGGTATTTAATAAGAGAACTTCAGTAATTTTCATGTCTTTTTCACTTCTATAGCAGACATCAACTTGGATATATCAAAGCCTTTGAAAGCAAACCTGAGTTTTACCAAACTGGATCAGATGAACCATTTTTTAAAGAAGATAAAAAGTGCACATGGCTTTGCACATAGCAAAGAGACCTCTACTCTTTCAGACCCTACACTGAATAAAGATGAGCTTCCAGTCTCCAAATGTTACCATGGAAAGTTGTCTAAACCTAAAGTACATGCTGATGGAGTGCAGAAGTTTTCATTTCAAGAAAACATGTGGAGAGCCATTTCCTGTTTTCAAAAAATTTCTGTCCATACTACTCAGATTGTGTTCTCCATGGAAACTGTCCCCCATCCTAATAAACCATGCCTGTTGGCATCTCTATCAAATCTTAATGGAAGCCTTAGTGTCAAAGCAGCACAAAAAGTACCTGGTAAGTCACAGAAAATGGGAGTGGGGGAGGGAGAGAGAGAAAGCAAGCAAAATGGTTTGTTAACATCTGAAAAATGCATCATTTTGAAGATTTTTGTTATGTAGAAGTTAAAAGTTTTAAAGGCCATTAGAGAAGGGAACATTTCTGGTTTGTGACCTTATTGCAGAGATAGTTTTATAACAAATCCTTGGAGCCTAGGTATTTTAATGCCCTAAACTAAACTAAACTAAACTGTTCTATCCACCTCTTTAGGCACATTCCTACAGATGTTTTAAAACTGTTCATTCCTATTTTCTTTTCACCTAAAATAGCTATGGTGGGACAACAGAGCATCAAGTTTTGTGAACCACTAGAAAAGTGGTTCTCAAAGCATGATCTCGGAACCATCAGCATCTCCCAGGACTTTCTTGGGAATGCATATTCTCAGACCCTGCCCCCGACCTATCAAATCAGCCACTCTGGGAATGGAGCCCAGTAGTCTATCTCAATAAACCCTACAGGTGATTCTGATGTGCTGTATTAAGTCACTGGTAACAATTTATTTAATAAAGAAAAATTGCTGTGGTGGCAGATATGCTACACAAAGTGTAATCGAAACCAAGGTTCTGCTTTGCAGGAATGCTGCAGAGGCATTTTATCAGACTGCAACACCTGGCAAGGAAAGGCTGTGTTTCTGTGCCCAGCTGAGCACAGAGGCCTGGACCCTGAAAAATGAATGTCATTGAGGGGTGGAGAGGTGAGAAGTTAACTGGCAGTGACATCTACATTTTTCTCTTCTGTTACCATGACTAAGTTATTATGTGCTTTTTCACACTGAATCAGAAAGGGTGGGCAGAAGGAATGTGAGGAAAGGAAGAGAAAATGCAACTCACAGGTGGGAAATAACAGTTTTCAATCATAGAAACTGCTACTGTAAAAGTTCAGGGCCCAGTGCCAGAAATTTTGTTCTGAAAGTAAAAGTAGGGAGAGGAAACTATCCTTTTTTCCACTTTAATATTTAGGGATGAAAAAATGAGGGCTATGAGATAGTACAGGGGATAAAATAAATCCTTAAATTATGTGCAGTTTAGTTGCTTACAAAAAGTAATTAAGTGGCAGCTAGAGTCTCTTCCATAAAGCCAGTTTGGGCACAGTAGTTTAAAAGATAAAGAAAAAAAAATGTTTTACAGTTGAGAAGTATGAATTTTAGTCCAAAACAGGGATGATTTATTTCTTTCTCACCAGAAATATTTGTGACCAAGCCAGCTAAAAGCTCCCTATTTTTTTTATTGTCTTTAAAGTTAGAAATGAAAAATGTTAGTTCATGGGACATGAAAGACTATGAAACACTGGACGCTACAATGTCCAATTTATCCACAAATAAATTGTGACCCAGACAACACTGGACCCATTCCCATGCTTTTCCAGTCTTACCTTAATCATAGTGGGAAAAGGTTAGAACTCAAACAGAGTAGAAGAATTTAAACATACTTTATTCCATTCTAAGTCCTTTTTGGTTTTCATTCTCATGGCTTTTAAGTTTGTTTGCTACTCATATTTTAACTACTCTTAATGGTATCTATCCTTGGTAAACATTAGTCTCTAAAATATAATTAAAATCTTTCTCTCACTGAGCCATAATCTATTTTTGTAACTTGTTTTTCTCCCCTTTGTACTAGAATAACTACATAGCCCTTCTCCTCTTACAATTATGTTCTTAAATCTAGTTAAACACAGAAATAGAAACTATGGCTTTGACCAGGACATATTTTATACAACCCTATTGAGTAATATCCAGCAAACATTCTACAATAATTATTTGTGTCAAATTAAATAAAAGTTGAAGTTAGCCATTTAATAGTAAAAATTTTAATTTGAGACCATAACACCAAAATCTAATTCTTTTCCATTTCAACCTTATGTGACAGAATACTCAAACAAGAAAATAGCGTAGTTAGCAAAATAAATAAAATAATTTAGTGAAATAAGATTGTATTGAGTTCTAGATATTGCTTAAGGCTGATTTCTAGGAAAATTATAATTAAGAGATTACTACACATTTTTTAAAAATTAATTTTGTTTATTTTTAAATAAAATAATTTAATATTTGAACAACAATTTTATTGTGCAGTTGAATATCTTCAAATTTCATGCTTTGCAGTTTGTATGAAATGTAAGCAAACATATTTATATTTTTAAGGTATAGTATCGCTAAGTGGTAAAATGTATCCAACACACACACACATGCACACACACAAATCTCCTACCAGTAGTCATATTTCTTTTTGTAGTTTTCAAGTGACGTCGTTCTGTATTCAACCAAAATTTTTTATAGTATATCTTTGAGCTCAGTGGGGTTAATGTTGGATTTTTATAGTTTGAATCTAATACAGAAATACTTAACTGTGTCTTTGATTTTACAGTTTATATAACTATTGTGACCATCTGCAGCAGCTGCACTTTTCAAATTATTTGCTGAACCCAATTGAGCACAGTGACAAAAGTAGTCATCTCAGATGTGCTATTAAACAGAGAAAGAAAAAGGAGCATTGCCTTGGTACAGTATGGCCATCTGCTGTACAGATGTTATTGTATAGAATGACTTAAGATAAAATAATTGTAGAAAATTTTAATTAAAACCTCAACAATTTGCACTTGTTTATTCAAATCTGCATAGCTCCCCAATGAGACAACACACTTGGGGTTTCTTTGGTTCTCACTCACTTTCTCTTTGATCCTTTTTGATGTGCTGACTTTAATAAACACAGTCAAAAACACTGTGCAAAAACATCATGGAAAAAACTACAAAGGAACAATTATAGCAGCAGAAACTAATCCCTAACTTACGCAAGCTATTTTTAGTGAAATATTTTTTTAACACTCTTTATGTGACAATGTTATATAAACAAGGAAAAATGGTCTTTTCCAGATGAATTTTAATTTAGGAGCTGAAATAGATTTGTAATGCTAGAGGAATCTTATGTGCTAAGTAATATTTAGAGAAACGCCACTGGGAATGTGTTGTAGGCATGTACCCTCACTCGTCAGAGGTACAAAAAATATTTGAGTTTGCCTATGAATATATTTTTTAATCATTGAAGCTGTCATAAGCTTATGAGAAATATATGGGAAAGGGGGATAATAAAAGCATGAAATGAGAAAGTTAAATGTTTTCCCGGAAACATTGTCAATACATTTAAATAAGCTGAAATGCATTCTTTCATGTTCATTTACTCAATTTTAAAACTTAATATTTAAAAGTTATTCACTAAAGTGGTTAAAGGAATTACTGTTTTCATCGTATGAAACAAAATGAAAGGGTTAAATATTTTCCACTTTACAAGGAAAATCTACCAGTTCTTCTTAACCTCTTATACTGTTTTGCAATCCTAAACTATGGATATTTCAAGGGACTTTTTTTTCCCACTGCACAGATGCTATTTAGCAGTGACTTATAATAACCAAACTCATATTTCTGCTAGAATACTCATATTCCCCCAACTGTCTTTGGTAAAGTGTCCCTGAAGTTCTGATTTTAGTAGGTCATATTAAAAGTTGGTGCATAATGCAGAAAATCCTGATTGTATTATCACTAACAATGAATGTCCTTTAAAAATTATATTTTATAGGGCTGGGGTTGTGGCTCAGCGGTAGAGCACTCGCCCAGCACATGCGAGGCCCTGGGTTTGATCCTCAGCACCACATAAAAATAAATAAAAATAAAGGTATTGTGTACAACTAAAAAATAAATATTTAAAAAATATATTTTATATTCTGAAATATTTTAAGGCAGATAATATTCATCCCATTCCATAGTTCATTCTTTTAGTAACCCCTTCCTGCCACATGAACAAACAACACAATCTTTTTTTCCAGTTGAAGTATATCATTTTGGAGAAACCATAGTGTATCATTACAAATTGTGAACTGGCTATGCTATAGGCAGATGGGGAGTGAGCTGCACACTTTATCTCCCCTAGTCAAAATAAATTATGGTGCTATTAGGGCAATGATCTTTAGATTTCAGCAAACAAAAGTACACAATTGAGAACTGTGAAATCGTGGTACTTGAGATTACCTTGTTCTTGCCCATTAAGAGCACTGGTATTAGCAACCCCCACATAGACAAGGAAGAGGAAAATAGGTGAACAAGTTAGATGGCACAAAGGGGAAAAAGCCTACATGAGGCCAATTTGATTGATATTTTAGTCAGAATTGGGAAAAGGCTGGGACCTCTGTGTCCAGAGAAATGCTGAGAACTTTTCACCCAGGCAGAAAGCAGTGAGTTGAACTCCTTCTAGTCAAAGAATTATGGTTTAAGTAACTGACTACCTCCACTGCTGTTATCCAGATGTATTTATCTTTGTGTATAAATAGGAGGAGAGAAAGAAAGCATAGCCACATTATTTTTCATGTATACAAAAATGTCTCTTCTCATGTTCACTGAATTCAGGACCAGTAAAATATCAAGAACCTAAAATTTCTTTTCGTGTACTGAAAAGTGAAACTCCATCCTTAATTGATACAAAGCGGAGCTCCAGCTTTTCATTCTGTTAACTGGTTCTCCTGAGGAAAAATCTCTTAAGGCATAATCATAGCCTTTGGATACTGCAGTATTTCAGGTCAGCCTAAAGGGAAATAAAACATTAAATTAGATATGACTACCTAAAATTATATATTACAATAATAAGTCATTTATAACACCCCAAAGACCCTTGTTACTTCTAGAAAGAAATAGCATTCCTTTTCAGTGCCTACGCAATAGGAAATGAATTCTTTGACAGTGAAAGCCATAGGACAAACTTAACTTTTAAGCAACTACTGAGGATTGAAGTGGAAGTACAGCTTGTAGACAGCTATACAAATCACTAATGAACCTTAATGAATATTGGGTGTGTGTTTCAGGGTCCTGTCATTTTTGACACCGTGTCCCAAGTAGCCTAAATCCAACACTCAAGGAAAGGTGGAGACCTCATTGGGTCTGTAACATCTGGGATTTTATTTGTCATTTTGGCATACCC